AGTCTGACCTGTCACCCAGGACCCGTTTGCCTTGGGAGACCCTACCAGGGGCATATAGTCCCCAACAACATAGCTCATAGGATCACTCGGGTGCTGAAACCCCTCCACCACAATAAGGTGGCGGTTCAAGGAAGGCAAATTAAACCCCTAGTTATATGAAATAAACCATACATTATTAAGGATGAAACTGTTTATTTTGTGTAAAAATGAGCCACACAGCACTTTCCTTAGCTAACTGCAAGTGCACCACAACAACGCTGCATGCGTGATATAAAACAAAGCTAATTTGACCAATATCAATTATAACACACTGGAAAAATGTTTCTTGTATTTAAGACAACAATTTGTCACTGTTTTTCATTCATCAGTACTGACATGCATCATATTTTGACTCTGACAGGGGTGGCACCAAAGGTGCCCAGATTCTGGAGGTGGCCGGTGCCACCCCTGGCCACCCCCTGGATCTGCACATGGCTCAAAGCACTGCTGTGGGTGAATAGAGCTTTACAAAGGTGTTAGTGTTGTTATAAACTACCACTTTCCACCTGTTTTCACTAGTTCTTTTTTAAATAACTACACAGTAAGCCACAGGATCAAAGCTTATTCTCTCATTATGCCATGTTTGTGTCAATATAAAGTAGCTCTCTCAGGCCAGTCAGTCCCAGGTTCTTTGTTCAAGTTCTGCTCTGGACAGGGGGAGGTTCTGCATTTTCTTTTCACATTAAATTTCCTTGATGGAATATCTTTATTGGCTGTGGAAGTAATATGATGTCCATTCCTTGAACCTTGTGTTTCTACATTATTAGAAGGGAGCACTCCACATTCCCCTGTGCCTGTGAAGCATTCCTCTGCAGGGAGTTGACTGATGCTCTTCTGGAAACAAACATCTGTGCTTCTCACAGCTCTATTTCATTACTCCCTGAAACACTAAACCAAGAAAATCAGCTTAAACACAATCAGGAATTTATTTTGAAAATACCCACTGCAAAAACCCAAGTGGTCTTGACTTTGCCTAGAGTGTGAAACTGAACACTTTAAATATTTTTAACAAATGCTGCCAAGAAGAGTGAAAAGAATTTTAACCTCCACCATTTCACCACTGGCTTATACTCTATAGTAGTGCATGTGTATGAAATAATGAAACAAATGCTAATTACCTGATATTTAAAATTTGATTACCTTTCCAAATGATTTACTAGAGATTTCTACCATGTTTTAAAAAAAATATGGCCCTTAAATTAACCCCCACTTGCCGCTTTAGTGAAGGTTAAATGTTTTTTTGAATCACAAGTAGTCATTTCAATGAGCCAGCAATTGTGAGGCGTGTTCATTTTATATTGATAAGAGAAGTCTAATAAGAGGATATATATTTCACAGTGTGAAATTTATTATGCATTAACGTATCAAAATTAGCATGTGCACATGGAGCCTCACTGTTTAGGATAAACAGGAAAGACTGACTAGGGTGATATTCATAACTATATAAACATAACAGTGACATATAAGTATGTACACTTATGTGTGCTATAAAATAAAACCATTCTTAAGTGCATAAAATAAAAATCACCCTAACACAATGGAGGACTTCATTTGTTAAGTCTGAGTCAATGGCTGCCAGACCAGTGATATCACCACTATAGCCACTGAATGTTGCTCTTCATAAAGGTCAAAGGTCAGTATTTCTCATTTTCAACCACTGTAACAAAGATTCCAACATAATTAGAATCCTTTGAAAAGGATGAATGAAATTTAAAAGCTTGATCTACAGTAGATCAACTTCATCATCAGTGAGCCTTGGGTGTCCACTGTTGGTAGGTACTAACCACTGCACACCAGTAACCACCAACAAGACCTGCAGTGTGGGAGATGCTCTGACCCAGTCATCAGCCATCAGTTTGGCCCTTGACAGTCACTCAGATCCTTAATACTTGCACATTTGTACTGTTTCCAGCACATCAACGACAAGAACTGAATGTCCACTTGCTGTCTAATATACCCCGCACACTAACAGGTGCTCTTGTATCGAGATAATCAATGTTATTCACTTCACCTCTCAGTGGTCATAATGTTATGGCTGATTAGTGTATATCAACAAAAAAGTAAATATAGAAAGACAGGGCAAACTCCCAGTGCTTGGGATGTTAACCACACACCAAAAGTAAAAAACTATTAGAACAATATAGGACACAACCACAAGTTTATTCAGACATCTTGTGGAGAAAAGTCCTGTTTGATAAAGTGATTGTTACATCAGTTTTTAATGTGACAGCACAAACATCAAGCCCTTGTGAACATGTATTCTGACACTGATTACAAACAATATAGCAATATTTGTCTTGGAAAACACAAATTTACTAGTAATTCGATGTGGCAAGTTGATGAAGATGCACTGCCGCAGATGTTTAATTATGACAGAATCTGGTTATTTAAAATGCTATTTATTCCATTATATAGTAGTATTTCACAAATATTTACAAAAAAATGTACATATCAACACTGTTGTCTCCCAAGTTAAGTTTGAAAATGACACATTGTAGAACAGTATCTATACATGTCCAGTTTGAGAGTTTGATTTAGAAAAATACCAAAAAGGTTTCAGCAAGAAACTGTGACCCTGTAATGGAAGGTTTCTTGAATGGTTGCAGATATTCATTGGTCTCATTTGTTTCCTGAAGCCATCTTTAATCTAGTGTGCCTAGAGAGAAAACAAAGAATTACTAGGATGTATACTGGTACAAAATGTAGTCAAAATCTATTACATGTGTTCACATCTGCATGAGCATGTTGAATGCTGTGTATTTTTATTTTCCACATGCAGGGGATTTTTTTCTGCTTGGTGTATATAAGACATTAACAACACAAGTAGTTTTAAAAACATTAGACCTGAATATAAATTAAAACAATATTTATGCAATGTTGAAGCAAAGGACCTTGAGGATTTCTGTTAGGCCTGACAAGGCTTACCTTCAAGAAATGCAAACTCATCTATGGCCTCTATTGCATTGTCTGCGAAGGCAAAAGAAAAGAAGAGGGAAGCAGTTTAATTCAGACAGCTGAAAACAGAAGACAATGAAGTCTAAACTGATTAATAGGTTCTTTTATGTCCATGTAAAACTGATCTAATCAAGATCATAGGTATGTCAGCAGTTACACGTTCACCAGTGTTCCAGGAAAATCTAATCCCCTCTACAATAATCAGCATGGTACCACCTTTAGTGTGTAAATATTATTATTGTTTCTGCACAAACTATACAGCTATGGCCTGGTCTGAGCTGATCAACTAGTCAAACATTGAATTTGTTTTAAAGCACAGTGATTCTGTATGTATGCACACACACACCACTGAGAATATCTTTGCAGTGATTACCCAAGTCTTTTCTTTGCAAGGTTTTCCTCTTCCCTTGCTGGGCATACACCAGGGCATCTTTGGCAATCATCTCAACAAACAGCTCCTGGAAGGAAGAAAATCATTAATCATCCTATCGTTTTAAACTTAATTTTTTTTTTTAATTTTCATTTTATTCTTCTCAGGTTTCCCCTCTATCTTCTTTGTTAGAAATGTACAAGGTTGGTTTCAAAGTCCCACATTCTGCACACGTTAAGCAAAGATCAATAAATAGGTAACTAAATTAACTTTTAGTGAATTATTTCTCCAGCTCTGTCCCACTTTTGAGCAAGCTTCTTTTCCATGCCTTACACAGTGTACTTTTGGATACCACACTTATTTAACATCCAGTTTATGAAAGCTACAGTACCTTTATATACTTTTTATAAGATAAACTACTTCTGTTTTTGATGGTAACATTTAAACACTTATTACACTTATTATTTTTGAAAATTTTATTCATGTTTTCATTTCAAACCACTCAGATTACAGTAATGTCCTTCATACTGGTGTCATTCTTTGCTGAATCACCTTCACTTTGTTCAAAATGCTGCAGCATCTTTTCTGACTTGTACCTGTAATAGTGTACCGCTCCTGTCCTGGCCTCTCTCCACTGGTTAACTGTTCCTTTCAGGATCTAGTTTAAAATCCTATTAATAGCTTTTAAAGCACAAAATGGTTTAGCCCCTCCCTGTTATTCCAAACTTCTCAACCCTGTTGTCCAGACAAACCTTTATGGTCTGCTGATCACTTACTTCTGGTTGTTCCTAAATCAAGGGGAAAATGTAGACGTGACCATGCTTTTGCAGTTGCAGCCCCTAAGGCCCCATCAATGACTGGTTACAAATCCTGGTTTAAATCCTACTATTATGCCCTGACTTACCACACAACTTGATAGCTTAGTTTTCTTTTATCCTCTTTATTATTGCTTTTAAGTGTAGAGGGATGTCTCTCTCTCTCTCTCTCTTTTTATGCTGTTTTATGTCATGTATTATAATGTACAGCACTTTTGCCAATTGATGTTGTTTTTAAAGGTGATTTATAAATAAATGGGAGATTGAATCAACGCATTCAACTCTCATCCCTGTATAACGTGTATGTGTCCCAGAATATACTGATCATATATTACTGAATAGCCTATTATTGTATCACATTGTACGTAAATATGTCGTCACTGACTTACCGGTAGCTCTTTCAAATAGCAATAACGTTAGTATCACGTTGTGAAGACATAACCAGTAAGCATTCCTTCATAACCTTTACCGTTGCTTTAGCGATGATAAATACAGACTCCTGGCTGGCGAGTGACACGTCTGGGTCGGTCTTCATCAGTGCCTTGATGCGGGCCAGCGGGAGTTTGGACAGTCGGCTGTGAGTCACGGCGGCCGTGGGGCCTGTTTGCTGCTGGCTGCTTTCCTCCGACACCTCGGCACCACGGCTCTCCTCCTCGCTCCCACAACGGTCAGGGTCATGCTCCGTGGACATTACAGGCGTTGCTACTGTTGCAGCCATCCTCTGTTTTTTTTTTTTACACAAACGATATATTAAAAAAAAAATCACAACTGTTTTCGTGCTACATGTCACAGAATTACAACACTAGCAGCAGCAGCGCGCCAGCATGTGCTTCCGGTCTTTCAGTGAGCGACCTGCGCTGATTCGTCAGGAGATACAGCATCGACCCGCCTTTTCATCTCCCGCTAACTTATCCCTGACGGTGATTGGACAGATTGCGAACTCAGGACCTGGCTATTGGCTCGAGTTTAAAGCCAATCAAAGAACGTTGCTACTTTGAATGCTAATGAGAGATGTCAAGATGTTGGTGATGCTGACCACAAAAGTATAGATATTTCCATTTAGTTTGAAAATAATACAGTGGATAAAAATTGTATGTTCTTAATCCAACCATTTGAGATTTTTGGCAAATCTGATACAAAAAAATGAACAAAACGTTACACACTTTCTGTCCAGTGGGGGGCAATAGAGACGTGCTAGCAAACAGTTCCTTATATACATATCAAGCAGTCCTCACTTTCAGTAATGTTTCTGGTAACCTAACAACTGTAATCAACTCAACTTTCAGCTTAAGGTTGGTCCCCATAAATGTTCCACTATGTTACATAATTTGTAGCTGTCTCTGCAGTTTGGTGCTGCGCAGGTAGCCTCAGCGTGGCAGTGACAGGTGAGGTGGGAGTGAAGTCACAGCCTGACTGCAAAACCAAAACAATGAGCTTAAAGATGCTAGACTCTGCGATTTTATCTGTGGGTTCTTCACAGTGAGACTCCTTTTACACATGTAGTAATTTTATCTATTATACATATATTGGTTATAGGGACTTTATAAATATATACATTTTATTTATTAGTTTTATTTTAAAGACCGTTGTTGTCAGTAAAATTGACTGTACCTTTTTAGATGTCAATAAGAAACCAAACATTTAAGAAGGATATCAAAAAAGATTTGGTTAACACAATGCACACAGATAGATAAAACATTAGAATGCATACAAGATGCACACAAAGTAAGATCATTAAATGCATATATAGATAAAACAGACACAACTACAAGCGCCATGTATAGAAGAGTGCAGAGAGAATAAAATAAAGTGAAACAACTACAAAAAAGAGAGGAGTTTACTTTTTGTAGTATTTAATAGTTATCTTTATCCATTTCAAACTGACTGAAATGTGAGTTTAATTATATGATATTCTAACTAATTCAGTGCCAATAGTCTATATTTGTACAACAAGAACGTTTACCCTAGTTTGACTACTCTGTTGATTTATGTTTTACCACTTTAGTCTCTGTTAGTACAGTGTAAACAGCCTTCTACATTCAGAAGTGTCCCAATAATACTGGATCTAAAACAAGCGAGTAATCCTGGGCACCTAAAGAATGGAGCCTACTGTAAATTGTTTTGTTCAGTTTTAAAAATTGAATATCTGACACTTATATATATTGCTGTTATTGATCCCTGACTAATGTATTCAACAGTTTACCCCTGGTTAAAAGGTGGAATCATTTTGAGAGGTTACATGTGCACTGTAAAACACCCACACTAGGTTTAAGCTCTCATGAGTGAACAGTCAGACCTCTGATCCTGTTTCCTGGTTGTTATGTAATGCTGGAAACCAATCAGCAGTTTTCTGTAAATACCAAAGAAACAGGGGTGAAAGGTTTACACCAGAGGGGTGACAAAATACTGTCTTATTTGTGGGAAAATGAATATGTTGGCCAGTCTTTTAAAAGAAGAGTGCTGAGCTTTGATAACTGAAAACTGGTGTTTTCAGATCAAAAAATAAAAACTGGAAAAGTCAGCACATCCAGTTTTTCCTCATTTTTAAATATGAAAACATATATATTAAAACTGATCTAACACAGTTCAAATATACATCAGCATCTATCTAGTACCCCAAAACTAAGAAGTTCCTAGTCACAGCACCGACAGCACAGCAGTGTAATATTGGGTAAACAGATGTAAGTCTTGCATTTATGGCAGTGTACTCATACATCTGAGTACTGGATATTTGAAACAAAAGGATATAACGTCTTATACATAATGTACATGATTTCCACTAATGGACACCAACAGCTTACAAACTAACCATCTATGATGGAGGTTACTGCTGATATAAAAGAGGCCAGATGCATTATACAAGACAAAGTGAGCTAGCATGGTGGTCAGTCTCATTACCAGTGTCTTATACATGGAACAGTCACACTAGTTGTCTGCACACCAACATTTGTAGGTGTCAAGCAGTCTGGTACTTATGACATAGTAAAAATAAGTGTAATATAAAGGTTGCATCTACCAAAAATAATGTCAGTGATTCCTGTTACTAAAACTGTACATTTATCCTAATCACCATTTCATACAAAAGCATTGCTTCCTTTTCTACAACCCTTTACAAAGAAATGTATCTCTGCACTGATGTCACACTCTTACTTATTTTTCAAATTTCTCTTCAATCCATCAAAAAGCAACTATGGCTGAAGCAGAAAGTGAGCAAAAAGTCCAGAGACCATGGTCCAAAGGCTGAAAAGAAAGTCAAGCTGTCAGCCTCTGCTTCCATGTGTGCCATCCCACAGCTGACTGAAGCAGAGAGTATGAGGCAGTCACCGTCTGAGAGAGTCATCTATGACATGGCCCACAACGAGAAGATCATCAGTGACCTGGTGCTTGGTCAAAGGGTTGGCTTTATGAGCTGCATGGAGAAATCGGGCAGGGCAACTTCTCTACAGTCAGGTTGGACATCCACGCTTTGATGAAAGGTCAGAAACCATGAGTTCTTTAAGTTTTTGTTAATATTTACATCTGAAACGGATCCCTGTTTTCTGGTTTGCATCTAACTTTAACAGCATCCCCTTATGTTCAGTCTGGACAGCCTATGCCTCAGCCTTTGCTGTTATGCACATGGTCTGACCTGGTTTGTGACTAATGTTCATGTCAGTAGATACCCAATCCCCTGAATAAGCCTCTGCCATCACCCTAGATCTCCCTAGACCCCTGCAAAGCATTTGATTTCTGCTGAAATGCCCTGATGAAAATTACACCTGTACATGTGTATGAGTGTGCACCCAGTGGCTCTGGGTGCATGTTTGTAGCAGCATTCCTGGTTCTTAGCCACATTGTTGTCATACCTTATAACTGGACAGCACTGAGAGAATGCTACCTCTGTCAAGGGCAACTCATTCTCCCCATAATGCCTTAAAAAGCAATATTTTCATGATAGTTTGGCCTTCATAATATAATTGCTTGCCTGTGACAACCTACTGTTGGCATTTGGAATAACGCTGATATCTTTGTTAGTTTGAAAGCAATTCAATTCAATTTTATTTGTGTAGCACCAATTTACAACAGTCATCTCAGGGCACTTCACAGAGTAAGGTCTAGACTTTACAATATTATAGGGAAAACCCAACAAATCCCCCTTGAGCAAGCACTCATGAAAAAAGACATCCACTCATTGGTTTAGGGGTAAAACAGTGACTGGGCCACAAGCAAAGCGGTAAACAGTGGTGAAAAGTAAAGAAACACTGTACTTGAGGAAATGTACTTAAGTATAATTTTGAGGTATCTCTACTTTATTTGAGTATTTTCATTTTCTGTTACTTCATACTTTGACTTCACTACATTTTAGAGGCAAATATTGTACTTTTTACTCCAATACTCCACACTTATTTAACTTTAGTAACTAGTCACTTTTCAGAGCCAGATTAATACCAAAAATACAGTATAATTAAGACCTCACTGATCTATGGTGGAAAATCCATAAGCTACCCAGCAGTAATTAAAATGAAATGCATATAAACTAGTTAAAACTATCTCCCCCTTTACCAACTACAACATTAAATGTGATGTACACAATAATGCATCACTAATTATAATACAATAATATAATCTTCAGTGCATCTTCAGTGCCACCACTGGCACCGAAGATGTCACATTTCTGCTTGTTCAACAGCTGTTTGATAAACTGCTCGTACAGTCTCCCTTAGTGGCTGATTGTTGCACTATGGAGTGAATTCTGCCTCTGCTCTCCCTGTCTATGTGCATTTGTGTATAAAGTGGCACATAGTGTATCTAGTCCTATGGATGAAAATTATAACAGCTTTGAGCCTGGCTAAAAATCTCTGACCTCACCGGCTAGAATCAAGATAATCCTGATTGGCCCTCTCCCAGCTGTCACTACATAGAGTAGATCTTTCCCCAGCTCTGGTCTGTCACCTTGCTGGGCTCCTTCGGTCCCTGTCTCGCACAGCGGGGTGTACTGACTGACAGCACTTGGTTTCCATTGACAATGAATAGGCAGCTGTCAATGAGCATGGACTGTGTCTTTGTTTGTGCTAGGAAGCACAGCTGCATACTTGGGCATGCTCTTAAAAATATTCCTGTATCCAAATTATGATACAGATAGGCACCAAAATCTTAACAATTGTTCCATAACACCTTACCTCTCCAAAAAATTCTATCCAAACTCATTCATTACTCATTCGTTATGCTGTTAAACTCCAGCAAAAACATCCTTGGTGGAGGTAACGACAACAACAACAATAACAACAACCACCCTGCGCCACTAACAAAGGCATCTACGTTATGTATTATTTAAAAACATAAATGCTATCCCATACAACTACATGCAGTAACAGATGTTTCAACTAAGTCCAGGCCTCTGCTTTAATGATCAGTTGGTGCACAGACAGAAAGTTTGTTCTGACATCAGCCTGATAGTGTATGTGCAAAGAACCACTAGCTAGCATTAGCTCCTGACAGGAACAGAGTGAATAAAGTGAAGTCCACACATTGTTCACTCAAATCTGTTGGTCTCACATTTTGCAGTCAGAGATAATATCAGCTCAACAAAGCAAACTCAGGGCTCAGATCAGTGTACAGACTTTTCAGTCTGTCCCTCTCGTAGACAGGATTGGTAGGTTCACTATGAGTTAGCCACAGTCGGCTAACTATCCTGAGTCAAGATGGTCCATAACCTGTAGTGTGTTTACAGCCTGTCAACGCAGTTGTCTTACAGAAAAGTAATGAAGTGGATGCATTATTTCTAACAGCAAAAAATGCTCACTATCACATGCTTTGAAATAGAATTAAAAAAAAGAA